TTAATGGTTGAGACATTACTAAAGGAGCCACTTTATAAATGTACAACATGTTAAAATGCAAACATTATTGAAATGTGAAGTGGTTATTTATTTTTTTATTTTTGAGGATTTATTTATTTGTCTATTTATTTATTCAGATTATCAAGAAAAGTGGTTAGAAGACCCCATAGTCCTGGCTTGTTGAAGATAAACTGTATCAACTCCCTCTGCACTGAAAATCTTTGAGGTATATCTAGAACATAAGGAGGGGAAATACAGAAGAAAAAAAAAATGCCGTCAGATGCTCACTCCGAATAATCCAGTCTTAAAGCCAAGCCAGCCATGACTAACTAGGAAATGACGTTATAGTTCACACAGTGCACACCTGCTTCCCTCACTGTATCTTTTCAAATATCTATTCTGTGGAATTATTTGCTCTGTCGTGGAAGTTAGTTGTGTCTCCCAAATGATAAAACTGGTTTTGTCACTGGTTGAAAATGTGGTAAGTATCTGCAATGGATTTATAGTGTCTATTTTTGATTTTCCACCTCTGCTGATGAGGGAGGAAGGGTTGCCTTTGGACTTCCTTGTTTTTTGTCCAGCACATCAGGTTGGATTTTCCCATTGCGTTTCTGGTCATTTAGAATTGGGTTGGGGTAGGGCAGCCTCAAATGAAGGATAATCTCTTAGAGGTCCTTTGCAGTGGGGGGTGAGGCCCGGGAGCGACCATTCACTTTTTTTTTTTACACAGTTGCAGCTGTATCTCAAAGCACTTTGATACAAAAAAGCTGAATGTTTTGCAGGCAGATCCTTGGGCTGGTTGCGGAATTTTTACCTCCCACTGTTAGGGCCCTTTTTAACCCCGAAGGGGCCCCTGCCATAACTGCCAGTTACCCCAAGTCGGGGCTGTTTGCAAATTGAGCCTGACAAAAACGGTGAGGCGAAAACTAGTACGTTTAGGAAATTAAACAGCGGCATGTCTAACTTTTTGACTATTGTGGTGTGAGGTGTTGTGTGTGGTTGCTGAGTTGTTTTGTGGTCACAAATCTACTCATTTGCAAGTCACATTACTCTACATGCGCCTGCAGTGCTGAAAGCCATTCAGGGCTATTATTCACTGTACAAAACAGTAAAGATACTCTGATATATAAAAATGTGGCAGGCGAGCTCTGATATGTTCTTCATTGATGTGTTTGAACTCTCAGCAGAAAGTGGGAATTCATGTATATATTTTTTGGGAAAATAAGTAGATAAAAGTGTGTGTCCAATGGCACTTCATGATTCTGAATAGAACGAGATGGCTATATAAGTCATTCTCTATCAGTTTAGATCATTTACATGAGAAGGAACAGGACATAGGAGTGTTTAGAAGAGAATTGGCACATTAAAATGTAATATGCAGTTTATTCACAAACATAATCAGAAACATGACTAATATTAATTCATTAATCATTTCTGGGTCTGAAGAATGGCAAAACAAAGCCCTGAGGGAGAGAAATGGAAGTTTTTACTTAAAGTTGTCTTTGGTCTTTATAATGATAATGGGAACCACTACGGCTTTCCCTAACTGCATGTTTTCATATGACTGGAGCATAGCCCAGTGACTGAAATACAGTAACTACACAATTCATATTAAAAAAATAAAATAAATAACATTAGTAATTTAAGTGGACTTGCAGCATATGAATTCATTAAAACTCAGACTAGGAAAGAGCGACAAGAACAAATGACTCTCTTAGATTTTATTAGTATGTGAACTCTCAAGGAAAAAGCTCCAGAAAGGTGCAAACTTCCACACAGGGATAATTGAGGCACAGCACAGATATATTAATATATAATATATATAATATAATATATAATATAAAAGATATATATATATATATATATATATATATATATGTGGATGCTG